ATCAGGCGCGTACGCGGTAGGCACAGAGTACGCTGATCTGTCAATCAGAGTTTCAACGTTCGTTATCTCGCAGTTTCGAGGCCAGGACGCTGAAGCCCATCTCCTTGGCCAGTCTTGTTTTTTCTTACTCCATTTTCCTGGTCAACCAAACCCCCGGTCGCAATCTCAATCCGCCGCACTCATGTTTCCCACTCTCGAAACACGGCAACGTCATCGACGAACTCGCTGCCGGTTATCTGCCGACCAGCATGTCTGCCTGGCTTGTTAGCAGGCCTCTTATGCAAATGTACGAATCCACACGCAAATCTCGACATGGGTCCTGCCGTTATGCTGCACCTCAATTTGCGCACCCGTCCGTACGATGCTAGTGTACCTACCTGTCCATTATCCATTTGCTGTCCCTCTTTGGACGCGCAAATCTGGATTTCGCTCCATGTCTAGCTGCATCTGTCGGCTCTCAAATGGAGACGGCATCAAGACTACGGGTACGCTTGTCAAACCGGGCCGTGAGACGTGAAGTGTGGACGTAGACGTGGACACCAACTGGACCACACCTCACTCCTTCTGGAGCAAGCGTCCGGACCTTGGACATTGCATAGGGACGCAGTACGGATACCGGTATTGCACACTTGCACACTTGTAATTATTGGACAACTTTTTTTTGGTCACTCTGGAGTTCCTTCCCAAGCTTCCCCCCCATCATCCATCCCATCTCTCATCTGGTCCTCTCTCTCATCCCATCCTGGGTCTGTTCCCATCCTTTCCCTGCAGACCACTTGCGCCCTTTTTTCTTCTTCCTTTCTTGCTTGCTCTCCTATTGCGCTGCCAAATCTACCTTCTCGAATTTGCTGCTGCTTGCCAATTGTCCTTCATCACAGCCGCACTCCTGCGGATCCGTCCACGTCGCCTACTTTCAAACGTCGACCATCCCGCACCAAGCGCACACTCGTTGCAGATACCGCTCGCTGATCAGTGACCCGATTCGAGGAACCCTTCCCCCCGTCCGGTTCTACCGTCGTTGGGTTTCTACCTGTCCTCAATAACCTACCTACTTACCTACCTATCTACTTCTGCTCGTAAAGACAAACCCAATCCAGCTCTCTGCTCCTCCCTCCGTTGGACCCGAGCCCGACTCTTCTATTTTGCATCATCTGCTCCAGAACGCTGCACATGCCAAAATATCTACTGCTGAAGCTGTCACTCGTTTGCGGTTGAGCTATCGCATGCTCTATGAGGCACAATGGCTCCGTCCATTCTCAACTTCAGAGGACTTCGGCGTCGTTCGAAAGCCAGCTTCAAGACCGACCGCTCAAACACCGACGTTTCCAGCGATGCCAGTAACATTACCACTCCCACTGCCACAAGCGGTGCCTCGACCCCACCATCCATGGCTCAAGCCTCCGATTCTGCTCTCGACCTCCAAGTAAAGGACTCCAATGGGGGCAATCCTCAAGCTCGTCCGCCGCTGCAACCGGTGCCCAATTCCCACCGACACAGCGTTTCTGGTATGGCAGGCCTCGGTTCTCCTGTTGTGGGCGGGAAGTCGGCGTTGCCAGTCTCTCAATATGCGCCCAGAGTTGCAAATATCACCGACAATGCCTGGGTAGGTCATCTCAATCATACGCATGGGTCGTGGCCCCGTGCGGTGTCACCTTTGCTTCTCCAATCATGCTCGCGGCGGCTTCGCTCAGACGGCCAGCCATAGACATCCGCAACCGCGGCCACCAGCTTCTAGCTGCAGCTTCCGAGCGCTCTGCTAATACTTGAGAAGGTATACCAAAAGGTTCTCCTCGTACATGGGACTATTGGCGACTCCTCGCAGCACTCTCTCGACGGCACTGTTTCGGTAACCCGACTCGACGACAACTTTCCACCAACATGTTGGCCCGCATGCAACTACAATTTCAAGGCCCTCGTCTACCTACAGCCAGGCCCAAACAAGATCCGCTTCGACTTCTCAAGTCCAAAGTTGCCCAACAGTTCGTCATCCAATCCGATTCACGCATCTTACTTGACGATACACATGTTGCCGGCGAACAATGCACCTCCGCTGCAGCTCGCTATCATGGTTGCCAAGGATTCTCCTGAGACCTTCGATGCGGTACCTACAAGGATTGAGCGAGAGGGCAATGATTTGGAGACGGCAGTTCGCAAATTCCGAATGGCCGCTTACCTCTGGCAAGCCTTTACAGCTGAGCAAATGTGGCGAAACAAACTTGGACGTCGCGTCTTCAGGTTTGAGGAGGAATGGACCGCCGGCACATCGAACCAGCGGGATCGAGAAAACGGAAATCTACGCTCTGAGGCCAGGATCCATATCATCAGATCAGACAAGACAGTCGCCGAAATTCGAGATCTCGAGCTAGCGCAACAGAATGAGAAGGCGAGCAAGAAGGGGGACCTATACGAAATAGCTGCCGATGCGGTGAAACAATACTTCAGGCCACTAGGTGGCCAGAAGCAATACGTTTCCGTGTTGATGCTCGATACGCAATGGGATAAGGAGGCCAATGTCGTAAGGGGCCACGCAGCGTTGGGCGGTAATGCAGGTGATCTGCACTTGGCCATTTTCGGATCCCATTGCCTGCAAAGCTATCCCACGAGTTTCGAAGAAGTCGTCCCTGCATTTACGGATTGCACTCCGACTGACCTTGCCTACGTCGCCAACGATTGCAACCAGGCTGGCAGCTCCTGGGAGGCAGCGAACATCGGAATTGGTGCCCATCTGCACGAGACAGGCCACCTTTTTGGATGTCCTCATCAGGAGTCTGGCGTGATGCTCCGCGACTACCTGACACTCAATCGCAGCTTCGTGACCCGTGAGGCATTCTGCACAAGGACCAAGTCCAAGGGGGGCCTGGTTCTTCAAGATGACGAGTGCGGTTGGCACCGCTTGGATTGTTTACGTTTCCGCGCCCATCCCTGCTTCAGGTTGCCAAACGACCCCCCCATGAACGCTGACGACAGCGTCCACGCTTTCCCAATTGAGAGCGGAAACGTGGTTGTCATGGCAGCGACTGGAATCGCATTCATCGAGCTATTCGCAGAGGACGATGATCTCTGCCGAAAATGGATTGAATATCCCCTCGAAAACAATTCGGTACAACGTCAACTAACATTGAACGACCGCGAGCTACGCGAGAAGCTCCCAGAGAACAAGCGGAAGGGGCGGCTTAGGGTGTCGGTCAAATCGCATAGCGGCGGTTCTTTGGAAATCGATGATTTCAAAAAGCTGTGCTCCAAGGAGTCTTCATTCAAATTAACCCCTGGCCCGCTCGGCAAGACAGCCTACAGAGGCAAACCTCTGGGCCACTCAGCCATGGATGGCACTGAGCCACAGGAAATCATCTTTGAGAGCGGCGGAAAACAGAACCGAGTGCTCTCCCGCATCATCTTCTACCATGGATATGCAGTAGACGGCATGGAATTCGTATATGATGACGACACAACGCAATTATTTGGCAAACGGGGAGGCAAAGAGGGTGGCGATGCGTTTGATTTTGGTATGTCCATTCTGCCAGGGTCAAGTTAAGCCCATATACTAACAGATGCCCATTAGATATTCGCCGGGGTGAATACATCTCAGGCTTTTACGTCCGCTCGGGCGCTTGGATTGATGCAATCCAGGTCCTCACGAGCTTGGGCAGACGGTCGCCTATATTTGGCAATGCTCAGGGCGGATCCACGTAAGTCTAGGAAACGCAGTTTCATTTAATCGTCAGTTGTCGCTGATCACCCCGACAGACATACTTTGATACCCCCAAGAGGATACACTATTTGCGGTGTGGCAGGCTCCTGTGGAGCCTGGGTCGACGGATTTTCGATCCTTATTGTTCGATAAAGGAAATCCGTGGCGTTTCTGTCATTCTTACGAGCGGCAGCTGGAGATAAAACTTAATAGTATTTACGAAACGAGAGGAAGAATTGGAGCACCATTGCCATCATCTATATGGCATGGGTTCCTGGCTCGTCCAAAAACAATGATGGAAATTGCACGTCTTTCCTACAACTTCCTGGCGAAGCACGCCTAGACATCCGCCTTATACTGGAGTATCACATTCCAATATATGGCGCGCTATCTCCTGGTTGGCGAGCATCAAATTAGGGGGTTACCCGCCTCGAAATACCTAGCAGACGAGACGCCTTGGACATGGATAAGACCACGTACGAGACGCTGTGACTTAGGTTGGGTGGCCACTGCGACGCAACAAGCCAAGGTGGTTTTTACAGCAGAAGAACAAGTGATCTGCCTCGTCGTTGTAAATAATACACGAAATGAATACACGGCTACACACATGAAGCTTAGACCTCGCAATGGCACGTACGACATGACATTGACAGCAACCTTCTAGAAAGTAGGTAAGGTAAGATAAGAAACTGCTAAAAATGGGTTGGCCAAAAGGTGTTGTCCATTGAGGTAGCCAAATAGCTTAGGTACCCTAAGGAAAGGTGCGTGGGTGCCCCCATGTGGCTGGCATATGCCAATATGGTGCCCGTGCCAAGATTTCCCGGTTGTTGGCGGTGCCTGGACCGTGCGACGTTGGACACCATGGTGGAAATCACGTGCACGGCACCTCGTGAGCTAGACCAGCTCCCCCGCTAGTCGGCTTCAGGTCTAGAACGACAGGGCTATGACGGCATGTGCCTTCCCCAGCTATCCTAGTTGGCTTTGAGGCGGAGGAGTGTGACCGACTTACCTCATGCCGACCTACCTACCTACCTTGCTTGCCCAGCACCTCCATTCACATTTCTTCCTACACCTGCCTCCCACTCCACGAAGCTGCTGCATACAAAAACTAGCTCAATCCTCTCAACCTCTCTTCTCCGCTTCCACAATTTTCGTGCTTCGTCCCTCTTAATGCCCACCGTCGAGATTTCCAAAAGGACAAGGAAAAATTCACGAAATTGAACGGGCATATCAACAAGCATCCACTGTGTCTCTCCTCCGACAACGTCTTCACAGTCCACACAGCTAGCCTCAGGGAAAGCCCCAACCAAACATGTCGAAACGGACAAGCAGCGTAGCCACCAATGGCAAGGCAGCCAAAGATGCTGCTGATAGCTTCGCCGAGCCTGGTATGTTGCACGCACTGCTTTCTCCAGATGCCATCCGAGCTAATACGTCGCCTTCAATGCAGCCCACGACAAGCAGAATCTCCTTCTCGCGGCCGACCCCGGTCACTTTTCTTTGATCCGCGCCCTCCACCTCGCCGACGCAATTACCCTCTGTAATGGTACGGTCTCACATATTCCCAGCTTCTTCCGCACGTTGTCCCAAGCGAGATGCGTCTTCTGAGACCGGATGCACTGCAAAGTCATATTGAGAGGAGAAGAGCACTGCTGACTTGCTGTGGAATAGGAGCTTGTGGTGTCATGTCAATTTTTACCTCTTTGCGCTACTGTCTTGGCGATCCCTCGTCCACTAGCACGCTGTACCTCGCCCTCTCCTTCCTACCATTTGGCCTCTTCTTCGACTTCATGGACGGTAAAGTTGCACGTTGGAGAAAGAAGAGTGGTATGATGGGCCAAGAGCTTGATTCTCTGGCTGACCTGGTACGTTTTCAAGCGACAAATCCGTTTATCCCGGGTCGATGGTCTACACCTATAATCCTTGCCAGGGAATAACAGAGTCTCTCCGAGCGGGATTGAGTTGGAGCAAGCCCGGCTGATATATAACACAGATCTCTTTCGGCGTCGCTCCTGCTTCTGTGGCCTTCGCCCTTGGTTTGCGCACACCCATCGACCACCTCTGCCTGACCTTCTTTGTCCTCTGCGGCCTCACGCGTCTCGCTCGCTTCAACGTAACTGTCGCCGCTCTTCCCAAGGATGCAACTGGAAAAAGCAAATACTTCGAAGGCACTCCCATCCCTACCAGTCTTGGCCTTGACGCTGTGATGGCTTACTTGGTATCTCAGCGTTGGATTCTTCAGGACCTTCCTCTCGGAACGTGGCTGTCGGGAACTGCACTGGAATTCCACCCCATTGCTCTTGTGTTCGTGGTTCACGGATGCCTTATGACCAGCAAGAGCATTCATATTCCCAAGCCTTAGGGCGTGTCTCCTAACTTTTTCGGTCATACCATGAGCTAAGCGGGCGAGAGTCTGTCCTTCCTAGTTCTTGAGACGTGTTTGCGCCTCAACACGAGCACAAGAATAAAGAAACAAGAGAGGTCTCGTAAGATCTCTTTGCGCAGCGAGAACACGAACTGGGGCCACGAGCTAGTCTTTCGCCGCAGAATCATACGAGGCGAAGCCAGAGGTGAACAATACGGAGCGGGAACTATCAGTCAATTGCACTGAGGGAATGGACGTCTGTAGCACAGAGATACACATCTAAGCGTGCACGCGAAAATACAATACGCATGATACCCTACTTACACATTTTCCTCCATTGCCACTTGATCATTGCCACTCGATCGTCGTCCATTGGCATCATTTGAAATTCGATTTTTCGTATTTTGTTCCCGCACATCCATGGATACGATTTGCGCCTCTAGTCTAGGCTACAAATTGCAAAATGTTTCACCACCCTCCCAAACACCATCTTCAAAATTCATTTTGTCATGAAAGCCATGCTCCATCTCTCACGTTCATGCCTTGTCCTCCTTGGGCTTCACCACGGAGGGGAATGGGTTATAGGTGCCGCGCTCTTCGCGCAGCTTCTTGATCTTCTCAACGGCCTCGGCGACGTCAACGGGCTTGCCGCGGTCCTGGCTCGAGGTGTCATCACGGTAGCGGATGTTGACCTGCTTGTTCTTCATCTCCTCGTCACCAACGACGAAAATGAAGTTGTATTGGCTATGCGAGTTAGTCACATTCTCAAACCAAACGGAAGCGCAGTCCATTGTACGTACCCAAGCTGAGCGCTGCGAATCTTCTTGGGCAGCGTGTTGCCGGACAGGTCGACATCACTAGAGAGGTTTAGTTAGCGAATCTCTTCCAGATCCAAACGGGTAGCGGAGAACTACTTACACCCACATGCCCTGCTTCTTGAAGGTGGCTTGGACTTCCTCGGCGTACTCGACGAAGCCCTTACCAACAGGGATGACCATGATTTGCCTAGGGCTGAGCCAGAAGGGCCACTTTCCGGCGAAGTGCTCGATGAGGATACCTTGGGCACGAATGTTAGCGATGCTCAAGCGACATGCCATGCGCAATTCTAACCTGTGAATCTCTCAATGGATCCAGCCATGGCACGGTGAATAATGACAGGGCGCTGGCAGCCGTTCGTCAAAGGCTTGATGACGCGCTTCTTTTCCTTCTCCTCCTCGCCAGTACCGGCAGCTGAGTCGATAACGGCTTGAGGGTCCTTGGCCTTGAACTCGGGGACCTTGGGAGCGGCAGGTGCCTCCTCTTCCTTTGGCTTAGTGTTGACTTCCGCTGAGACGTACTCAAGACCAAAGCTCTGAGGAAGTTGGAAGTCCAGTTGAATAGTGGCGCACTGCCACTCACGGTTCAAGACGTCCAGGATCTTGATGTCAATCTTGGGACCGTAGAAGGCGCCATCACCCTCGTTGATAGTCCATGGCACACCGCCTTCTGTGGCGGCGAACTCGTCGAGTGCCTGCTTCAGCATGCCCTCAGCCCTATTCCATGTCTCAAGCTCTCCCAAGTACTTGTCTGGGCGAGTGGAGAGACGGAGCTTGAAGGTGAAACCCAGCAGGCCGTACATCTCACTGAGGAAGTCAAACAAGTTGCTGATCTCAGACTTGATTTGATCCTCTCTGCAGAAGATGTGAGCGTCGTCCTGCTGGAATCTGCGCACACGGGTGAGACCGGACAAGGCACCGCTGGCCTCGTTGCGGTGAAGGACTCCAAAGTCAGCAACACGCCACGGCAGCTGGTGATACGCCTTGGGGGTGTGAGCAAACATGAGGCAGTGGCCAGGGCAGTTCATGGGCTTCAAGCCGAACTTCTCCTTGTCGACATCAAGGACGAACATGTCATCCTTGTAGTGGTCCCAGTGACCACTGATCTTCCACAGCTCTGCGTTGTACATGTTGGGCGAGATAACCTCGTGGTAGTCGCGCTTGAAGTATTGCTCCTTGATGTAAGCCAGGAGGGTATTGTAGATACGCGCACCGTGGGGCAGCCACATGGCACTGCCGGGGGAGAGCTCGTGGAAGAAGAAGAGCTGCTGGTCTTGGCCCAACTTGCGGTGATCACGGGCAGCTGCCTCCTCAAGCCACTTCTTGTGCGCAGCCAGCTCCTTTTTGCTAGGGAAACTGACACCGTAAACTCGCTGCAGAGAGTCATTCTCCTGGTTGCCGAGGAAGTAGGAGGCACTGTTCTTCATGATGCTGAAAGCCTCGATACGGTCGGTGCTGGGAACGTGAGGTCCACGGCAAAGATCGATCAGAGGACCGTTGCGGTAAACAGTGGTCTTCGTACCATCGGGAATCTTGTCGTTGATAATGTGCTGCTTGTACTTGTTGTAGCTGAACATCTCCAGAAGCTGCTCCTTGGTAAGCTCGAGGCGCTCAAACTTCTGTTTCTCCTTCACAATCGATCCGACAATAGACTCGAGGGGCTTCCAGTCGCTAGCCTGGACAGAAGCGCCGCCGGGAAGCGCCATCTCGTAGTAAAAACCATTATCGACCGGAGGACCGATGCACAGAGAGCATCCGAATCTCCTCTCGCAAGCCTCGCCAAGAATATGTGCGGAGCTGTGCCAGAAGACCTGCTTGCCCTGCTCGTCGTCAAAGCTCACCAACTCCAACTTGCAGCTCTTCTCCAAAGGTCTATCCAAGTCCCACAACTGGTTCTGGTCGCCGTCGAGTCTTGCGACAACGGTGCGCTTGTACAGACTGTTGGAGATGCTCTTCGCGATTTCGCCGGGGGTGGTCTCGTAGCTGGTGCCCTGACGAATAGAGCCGTCAGGCATGGTGATGGTGATGGCCTCACGTGGCCTGCTGGCGAGCTCTTCATCGTACTCCTTCTTCAACTTGTCGAAAAGGTCGAGTCTCTTCTGGAGGAAATCGGGCGGAGGGTTGAGCTCGAGGGGTCCGGCCGAGGCATCGCCAGTATCCTTAGCCTTCTTCTCCTTCTTTGGCGCCTTGTCCTTGTTGAGAGCGACCTTCTTGACGCCCTCGGTGACGGCCTCGACGGCCTGCTTCGCGGAATCCATAATGTCGTCCAATTGAGCGGTCGTGGTAGGCGTGAGAAGGGTGAGGGTTGAAAAAGTAAAGGCACACGAAGATCGATTTTCGTGCCAACAAATTTGGGCGAAACACAGCGAAGCAACCCCGCCAAAGCCTACGGTGAGTCAAACAAGGTGTTCGGACGACTTTCTGGTGGTGTCTGGCCCGCACTCCCTGCATTGGAGCCCACCACCCCGCCAATGGCCCTCAAGTCAGGCAGGTGGGCTGGTGGCTGGCCAGGTATTGGAAATTTTGGCGGGGTCACCCGGAAGGGATTGTTCCGACCCGCTAGCCGTGGCCAATGAGGGAGCTCGATTGGCCTGCACCACAATTTGGTCGCTGGGAAATTTTCTGTCGGCTGCCCGTTGGCCTCGTTTTTTTCAATAGCAGCACCAAAGCACTCAGTACAGGAGCAGCTCCGAACGACAACCCGCCAATCCACATATCAACATGTCATTCGGACGAGGAGCTCCGCGCGGTCGCGGTGGTGGTGGTGGTTTCGGTGGTCGCGGCGGCGGCGGTTTTGGAGGTATGAAATTACTCTACATTTCATTATCCCAATGCACTTGCAGATTGGGTCTGCTCGGTGACGGAATTCACAGTTTGATGCTAACATAACCTCAAAGGCCGTGGTGGCTTCCAGAACAGAGATATGGGCCCGCCCGCGACAATTCTTGGTACGTTCTCTCACCTTGTCGCTGTTTTGTCTCACGAGAGTATTCTAATCGGCAATTTTTGTATAGAGATGGGCAAGTTCATGCACGCTTGCGAAGGCGAGATGATCTGCGAGAGCATCAACCCCAAGGTTCCTCATTTCAACGCTCAGATCTTCCTCGAGAACAAGGTGCGACCTACCCCTCGTCGATTTATATCTCGATCGAAATCAGCCAATGGAAATGAGACTCGACTAACTTTGTCCTTTTTCTGACAGACTGCCGTTGGCAAGGTCGACGAAGTCCTCGGACCCATCAACCAGGTTTACTTCACCATCAAGCCCTCCGAGGGTATCCAGGCAACTTCTTTCAAGGAGGGCGATAAGTTCTACATCGGATCCGAGAAGCTTCTGCCATTGGAGAAATTCCTGCCCAAGCCCAAGCCTCCCCCAGGTGCCCCCAAGGTCAAGCGTGCCGGCCGTGGTGGCCCGGCAAGAGGCGGTCGTGGTGGTCCCCGTGGCGGCTTTGGCGGCCGTGGAGGTGCTCCCAGAGGCCGTGGTGGCAGTGGTTTCGGTGGCCGTGGAGGCGGTCGCGGCGGCGGTGGCTTCGGTGGTGGCCGCGGTGCGCCGAGAGGAGGTGGTGGCTTCGGCGGCGGCCGTGGCAGGGGTGGTTTCAGCAGAGGAGGCCGGTAGGCCATGACTGGAGTTTTCAGCTTCAAAGTCTGAGTTGGGGAGGGTTTTATCTGTTGGACTACGACTCTGGCGTTCGGGTTTGCTTTGCTTTCTCATCGGGCCTGGCGATAGGGGTTCGAGGCTACATGTACATCATCCACTGTGGTCAACTAAAAATTAGAGAAAAGTCTTGATTGAAAGTGTTGGACAGTTCAGGTTGATCATGGCCTAATATTCGCCTACGACCATTTGTCGTATCCAGGCCACCGACGTGTTTTCTCTTCAAGGTCTCGGGGGCGAGCCACTTGGTTTTGATCATTATCGTGAGAAACAAAATCAATGAATAATTGAGGCCAGTAACCATCTCTTCAGGTCTCTTTTCTGGCCCTCGCCGGCTGGCGTCAGATACGTATCTCGGCTATTTCCAGTTATCATTGCAATGCGACAACAACAGCAGACCGCGCAAACAGCAAAGACTAAAGATTCAACATGTCAATCAACAGATGAAATGTTCGAAATCTTGAATGGCGGTGTACCGAGATCGCCTTGTATGTTTGTTTTCTTTTCTTTTCTTTTTCTTTTTTATTAGCAGGCGACCAAATCAAGTTTTCTATGGGAAAAAGGATGAGACTACGAAGTTGTAGTGGTGGATACATACGCCTGGCATCCTCCACCTCTGAATGCGTCGTCAGTTCTGATATGCTCGTAGTCTTCGCCGCGCGTTTCACTTGCCAGAGCAAATAAGAACAGTACTTGGTTAATATGAAAGAAAGAGTGGCTTGGCTCCTATCCAGGCACCCGGTTGAGAACGGAGAGTCTAAGCGGCTTCCGCAGTCCCGCCGTTACTTTTCTGCAATGAGGCTGAGTCTGTGACGGAATGTCATTTCCAAAAATATCCCAATGCCTTTCATTCCAGTTATCCCGTATGCAATAGAATAACCCAAGAACCGAGCACACGATTGACGAAGACATTGACCATTTTGGACCATTGCGATTGAGCCCAATGACATGTTCCCTCTAAGGTTCGTGATCATTCTGTCTCCTCTTTCTCACGCTCATCCTCCTACTCATAGTCACTTCGCTTTCTCGGGACTCAGCCACGAACTTCATATCGCATCAGCTCTCTCAGACAACTCTGACCCGAAGTCAGGACAGAGTTCAATCAAGTTAGCTTAGCATAACAATCGTTCGCTCTGATCTGAGACCCGCTATTGCGATGGCACTTATTGTACTGGGCCAAGAGTTTGGTCTCATTCATGTAGCATCACGAAAGTTCCCTTGGACGGTCTGGGGCGTTTGCGAAGGATCTCTGTTGGTGGCGCGGTTCTTTGACAAGTGGGGTCTGGTTTATCGTTGGCGCCAATCCCCCATCCTCCTTCGCATCAGCCTTGCTTGTTTACAGGGATCCCTGTTACAACGTCGTCTATCTACACGCGCCCAAGCAGTCGAAAGATTGCTGGACATCAAAAGTCTATTCGACGGTCTGCATATTGTCTTTCTTCATAACCGGTCTTCTGTAATCGTGAGTTCTGAGCACTAGGCAATAGTCCTGACGAACCGATGGCGATCGTCACATTGTACGACACCGCAGCGCCAGACTTGTTTGTCCGTCGACTGTTGGTGTGATCCAAAACTGAGAGTCGATTTGGCAAACTAGTTCAATGTGACGGCAATGCATAACTTGCGTGTCGCTTACCGAAGGCCATCCCGGAAAAAAGAGAGACATGCATCAAGATCTCCCAAACGTGTCTGCCTCGAGTAGCAAACACGGTAGCTCAGATTAGGAAACGTTGACACCCTTGACACTGTTCTTGGACAAGCTCTAGTAGCTTCGAATCAGCCCTTCGAGACGGGGGGATCATGGAGAGGCAGTGGACTGCTGCGGCGCCCTGATTGAGGCCCATGCCCACGACCATGGCCGAAAGGATAGTAACTGCCTACGCCAGCCCCCTTGCGAGAGCCATCGTCAGCATCCACCGGGGATCAGTAGCTCAGGCCTTGAAGTGGACACCAATTTGTCGAGTCGCTCAAGCTACCAAGGTGACCAAGGTTGGACAACTGTCTCTCGTTCAATACCCGATCCTGTGCAGTCCGTATCTGGTCTGCGTGCCCCTGCAAGCAGGTGTTCATCTATCACGGCACTTCCTGCACCTGATTTGTACTGGTGACCGGCTTCTGTCATTCTCTTTCTCGCCTTCCACTCTATCTAACCGTTTCATTTGTATTGGCGTTGCTTTCTATTCCGTGCCTTCGTCTACCCGTGTGTGACTATCGGCTTTGCGTCGTTGCCCCTGTTGTAGCGTTCAGTCAAAGATTGGACATTGAGTATCGACATTTCACCAAGCCGCGGTCTTCACAGATACATATACCTAATACACACCGACATGAGCAACTCAAGCACCACACATTCACCGTCTACTGCTCGCACACCGACGACAGCATGGGAGACCCGAAACGCGGACGAGGCCATGCAGAGGGTGGCGGATGTCATGATAGCAGTCACAGAGTCGTTCCGACAACAGTTTCGAGAAGAAAATGCGAACGACAGCAGGCCATTCGGGCCCAACGGGCCAGGAAACTTGAGCTGGCGGACTTCGGCTCCGGTTCTTGTCTCTCCTATCCTCGACGACGACGGCGTGAGCCCAACGAACTCTCATTATTCTCGGCCGAGTACCGCTCCTTCGGCCCTCGACGCCTCCAGGCATGATGCTGTGTTGCCTGTATCGCCTACTTCCTCTCGTGATCCGGCGACATCACCTCACTCACGGACCATGATGGTAGGGGCGTTGTCCGTTCCTCGACTTCCGACTGTAGATATCACACACCCACATAACGACACGGAAATACAGGCCCGACAACCATCGACTTCCACGCCGTTGGTAAAACCGACGGCTGCCACCACACTGCCGAGAGGGTCAGGACCCGAGGCACTCGAACATCCTTCAGAGTACCCAGACTTATTCGAGGCCGCCAGGAGGATAGTCTTCACGCAACGGTTCAGGTCCTCAACGGAGGCAACGCCCCTCAACAGACCCGGCGAGAAATCCAGGTACCCCGAAAACGAGGAGCGCATTTCCTGGGCTCTACAAACCGCAGCGTATCCGGAAGATCCCCTCCTCCGAGAGATACCGCCAGAGCCGCTGTCGTCCGCAAAGGAGTCCTTCCTAGTAGCCGTCGTCAGTCTGTACCAATTCCTTATGTTTGCCGGCCTCGTCCAGGCCATAGCACCGGCCCTCGCCATCGCCGAGTCGTTTCCAGATATACCGAGCGGCCAGCACTCGTGGTTCACCGCAGCCTATACACTCATCATCGGAGCCTTTGCCGTCCCCTCGGAACGCCTGGGCGACGTCTTTGGCCGCAAGACCGTCATCATCACCGGCTGCCTCTGGTTCTCGCTCTGGAGCCTCCTCGCCGGCTTCTCCATCAACGTCCAAAACGGCAGGGCAGACGGCACCGCCTACTTCTGCTTCTGTCGTGCCATGCAGGGCCTGGGACCGGCGCTCTGCGTACCCAACGGCTTCTCGGTTCTCGAAAGGACGCTACCGGCGAGCCAGAGGAAAGACATGGCACTGGCCTTTTTCAGCGTCGCCGCACCGTTGGGCTTCGTGGCAGGCGCGGTGATGTCGTCCCTTTTTGCCTACAACGATTCCTGGGAATGGTCCTTTTTCGTACTTGCAGCTGTCAACATTTCCGCTGCGGGTCTCAGCCTTTTGGTCGTCCCACGACAAGCCCCTCGAAAAGGCCCCTATGATCATACTATCTGGGTACAGCTCGACGTATCCGGGACTCTCCTCGGCAGCGGCGGTCTCGTCCTGTTCAGTTTCGCTTGGAACCAGGCACCGGCCGTAGGTTGGCGCACACCGTACAGCTACTTCATCCTCGTCATCGGCGTCATGCTCCTCGCCGCCTTCTTCTACAACGAGTCCACCGCTGTGAACCCCCTCCTCCCGCTGCGCGCCATGACCCCGAAGTCGAATCTAATCCTAGGCTGCACGGCAGCGGCGTGGGCCTGCTTCGTCATCTGGGCATTTTATGGCTTCCAAGCCCTCGAGGTCCTGCGCAGCTGGGATCCGCTCCTTGCCAGTGCGGGCTTCGTACCCGTTGCCGTCGAGGCCGTAGCAGTGGGCCTGCTGCTGGCGTATCTCATGCCCGGAGAAGAGGTATACTGGGCGTTCTTCGCAGCCGTCCTATCCTTCTTGCTGGCATCTATACTCATGGCGACGGCACCATCCGACCAGACGTATTGGGCAAACACGTTCGTCAGCACCTTGTTTGCTCCGCTTGGGATGGTCCTGACCATGCCTCTTGCCACCATCCTGCTCAAACAAAACCTGGCAGAGGGGCACCAAGGGGTCGCAAGTGGTCTTGTTCTAGGCGTTTCGAGCTACGCCATATCGCTGGCTATGGGAATCGCGAGGACCGTAGAAGTCGAAGTTAATCCAAGTGACACGGACAAACTGTCCGGGTTCCATGGGGCACAATACTTTGGGACTGGTTTAGGTGGCCTGGCAGTAATATGTGCAACGATACTCCTAGTGTTAGCAGTAAAGGCCAGAGGTAGATCTTATGAAGAGGGATACGTCTAAGAAAGAATTGGTTGGATATCGTTTGCATTGTGCTGGAAATCGCCGAGGAGATAAGTGAAATACTGTCAAAATGAAAAAAGGGGGGGTCGGCACCCTCGTTGCTCTTTCCGCGCCTTGCTTCCCTGCATGAACATTCTCTTCTCGATCACATTGAAGACAAGAAAGTTCGACACAAGAATCCCATGCCACTATGTTCAATCGTATAGGATAGAGAACGAACAGGCAGACCCCTTCTCTTAAACCAGTGCCACTCCCTCATGTTCGCGTCGTTTTCCCCTCCTAGCCATTCCTTACTCCGGTTTCCTTTCCCGTCCCTTCACATTCTCCTCAACGTCTAGCTTCGACTCCGGGTGTACCCTTGGGGTATTCACCTGGAATATGCAAGTTGGAAATCGTCGGCACGCTGTCGGTTCTGATGGTGTTAGAAGTCGGCCG